CCCCCCCCCTCCTCCTCCTCCTCCTCCTCCTCCTCCTCCTCCTCCTTCTCCTCTTTGTGTAGCTCTGGCTGTCTTGGAACTCTCTATGTAAACCAGGGTGGCTTCAAACTCACACAGATGTCCCTCTCCTGGCTTCCCAGAGTGCTGGGATCAAGGCTGCTTTGTTATATCCGAAGGAACCACTTTAAATGCCTTATAGGCCTTTGATATGCTTGTAAGCTCAGCTAATTAGCTGTGGCACTGAAAAACATTTTACAGAACCTCTAGTCAAACCTATGTCATACAAATGAAGAAATAACTGCCCAAAATGGTATGACTGGACACTGCAAGCAATGTTTCATAAATTCCCATCTTCTGTGTGTCTAAGACTGCATCTTCCCTAAGTCGTTTCAATCTTTTCACTCTACCCACTTTGTCTATTAAAGAGTTCTGGAGTCCAGCAGTTTCAACCTGAGAAGCAACAAATACCTCCATTGAAGAAGCATTAGTGCTGGGGCTGCATGGGGGTAGAACACACGGCAACAGGCTTGATGCTCAAAACAAAAGAGAAGAGTCTTATAAGACAGGAGACTGCAATTCAATAAATCATGCTTTCTTTCTTTGGTTGGTTGGTTTGGTTTGGGTTTTTGAGACAAGGTTTCTATGTATACCTCTGGCTGTCCTGGAACTTGATCTGTAGACCAGGCTGACCTCAAACTCTGAGATCTGCCAGCTTTTGTCTCCTGAGTACTGGGATTAAAGGTGTGAGCCACCATGGCCAGCTGATAACACCATGCTTTTTAAGAGAACTGACCATCTATACATGTTTCTTCCTGGCATGTCTTTTTGGGCAGGAATCTGTTCTTAGCCAACAGAGAAAGGTAAATACAGTAAGTAAGCCTATGAAGGTAGGGAAGGTCCAGGACCACCCCACTCCACTGTGGTGTTACTGCATACATTCACAGTGTCTTCTGTCCATGAATTCATAGACAGAGCTAGTGCTGTTTCCATGGAGATTCTAAATCCAGTCAAGTTGAATATGATGATTAACTGTTACATCCTGTTAGTGATAGCTTAAGCACATGGCCTTGGCTCACAATTCAAATTCCACATAGCTCATGTACTTAGTTCTTCCCAGGGATCTCCCTAGGCTTTAGGACTACAGAAATTACTGTGGATAGGTAGGGGATCCCTTTGCTCTAAATGGTTTTCAATTCTGCACTCCAGCTCCCACTAATTATGCATGACAGCATCACACAGAACTGGGCGTGAGAGTGTATGCTTATAGTCCTAGCACTCTGGTGGTAAGGAGAGGAAGGTCAGAAGTTCAAGGTTTCCACAGAGCAAGTTTGATACCAGTCTGGCTACAAGAACTCCTATCAAGCTGGGCGGTACTTTAATCCCAGTACTTGGGAGGCAGAGGCAGGCAGATCTCTGAGTTCGAGGCCAGCCTGGTCTACAGAGTGAGTTCCAGGCCAGCCAGGGCTACACAGAGAAGCCCTGTCTCAAACAAACAAACAAACAAACAAACAAACAAACCTCCTAGAACTCCTATCAAAACAACAACAACAAAGATAGAGAACAAGGAAATTGAAATTGAAGTGATGGTTTAGGGTAGGATAACAAATCTCTTCTTTTCGAGGCAGTTGCTTTGCTGCTGGGATGATGTAATAATGAGATATAGCAAACACCATTTTCTTCAGGAGAATCCTGCACACCAACTATTGTTCTTGTCTTGAAGATGCTAGTGGCCATGGCTAGGTTAGGAGTCAAACTGAGGCTCACTGTTTTATCACCCAACTCCACAAACCCTTTATCTTTATCAGAAGACCAAATATTGAGATTTCTGCCCAAAAGAGGTATGAAGAAAGACAGCCATCACTCAACCTTTTGGAATTTGGAATGGTCCCTTCAGCTCACGACATTTTCACAAATGTGCCTAGAGCTGTAGCCATGGCATCCCTGCTCACTACATTACCCCTCTAGCTGGAATAACCCATCCCTCACTCCTCTTCACATTGCTCACACTTCAGACTCTGTAGAGGACACCAGTGGCACTGTGATCCCAGGAGAGGGGGGAAAGCAGCAGGTATTTTATGTTGTTCTTATGTTAGGATCAGATCTGGGTCAGAATTTGTGGAAGCTGAGAGCTTACACTACTGCCTCTGCACCCAGGATGAGTCCGGCTCAGGTCCAGGCAGCCTGCGGAGGCTCCTCTGTGGAGTGGGTAGGCAGGGCAACGTTAACAAAGCACCCAGACTGTGCTGTGTGCTGATGGATGACTCAAGCGTCCCACCGGATCCCACGCTCATGCTAGTTGCCACTTCCAGGAGCTAAAATAAACCTTTAGTGCTAAGAGACAGCAGGCCTTTGGGTCTGTTCATGAAAATAAGTCCAGCCATAAGAATTGGCATGCTATTTCACACAATGGAATGCTGCACAGCCATTAAGCACACAATTATGTGCACTGTCAGGATGGAAATCAGAATGTGAAATGATGTTAAGTGAAAACAACAGATGACAGAGAAAGCATGCTGATTGCATCTATGGAAAGCATACTTGTGTGTGTGTGAGAGAGAGTATATCTCTAAAGAGCTTCAGAAAGGAATGGGCGCTATAATTCTGTTAGAGTCCATGGCCTTTTCCATAACACATTTTTCTTTCTTACTTTTTTTTTTTTATTGAAACGGCTGCACTATTCAGCCCAGACTGGCCTAGAGCATATCCTTCTGCCTCCAGCTGGTATAAAGCACATGCACCTGCATGCTAGTCTTCCAAACATTTTTGGGGAGAAGGGGTATGTCCTGGCTAGTTTTTTGTCAACTTGACACAAGCTAATGTCATCTGAAAGGAGGGAACTTCAATGAAGAAAATTCCTCCACAGAATTGAGTTGTAGGCAGGTCTGTAGGGTATTTTCTGAATTAGTGATTGATGAGGGAGGGCCCAACCCATTGTGGGTGGTACCATCCTTGGGCTGGTGGTCCTGGGTTCTATAAGAAAGCAGGCTGAGCAAGCCATGAGGAGCAAGCCAGTAAGCAGCACTCCTTCATGTACTTCTGCATTAGCTCCTGCCTCCAGCTTCAAGCCCTACTTTGGTTCCTGTCCTGAATTTCTTCAGTGATGGAGTATACCATGGAAATGTAAGCCAAATAAATCCTTTTTTCCCCATCTTGAAATTGATCATGGTATTTCATTGAAGCAATAGAAACCCTAACTAAGACAAAGGGTCTCATTATAGCTCAGGTTTGCCTTTGTCTTAGTTAGGGTTTCTGGGGATGGAACCCACAGC